TTAGTGCGGAATTAAGCAATATATAACCTGCTTAGCTATGTCAGCAAGGAAACCAGGGAAATCAGAACTCTAACTGCAACTAACAAGGTTAACGAGGCTAATGACCTAAGAGAGACCTTTTAGAAGTTACCTGTTATGAATGTTATCAGAAGGGTCATATTAAAAGGAACTGCCCGAAGCTCTAAGGGGAAGCCGGCAATAGAGGGAGTAATAATAATTACTCTTATGCTGCATTCTCTGCCCTAGATGCCTTGAAAAACAACGGAAAAGACAACTTCTTTTTTGCATGCAATATAGGAGATTCCGTTGATGCTATTGTCGCTGTATATGATTGATTCTGTGCCTAGAAGGTGGCCAGATGTAAGGATTAAGAAGATATAGTTAATGTGTGCGAGAAAGAGCTTGTGGAGGCTTGTAAGCCGCTTAAACAGAAGAGCCGGCTGTATGTAATGCCCTTCTAAACGAAGAAGCTTTTGGCGATAATGAGAGAGGTTCCTAAGATTGCCCGCCAGTACGCTTAATGATAATATTAATATATTCTATTAATGTAAAATTTGATGGCAATAAAGACCGCTGGCTCTGGGATTCTAGGAGTAATTTACATATTATTAACCACGAGAAATGGTATCGCGAAGGCAACTAGTGCAATCTTGAGGAATCTATCCCTATTGTGACAGGCGGAGTGGTTATATACCTAACCGCGGTGGGGACCGCCTTCCTCACCCTTCATAACGGGAAGTTAACTAACACAGTCTCTCTTTAACACACCGTTTTAGTATAACATTTCCCTCTGAACGTCTTCAGCGGCGAGAAACTCTATCTAGCAGGAGGCTATCTCGAGAGAAATAACATATGCAACCCTCAAGGCAATGTTCTTATAACAATTGAGGTTAAATCCCGGGGACTTTAACTGCAAGTTGTTGTTGAGGGGGGGTGGGGGTTATCTTACATCGACCTGAGAAACAAGTGATGCTGACGAGTAAAGAGATTTAAAATATAATGTTATGGCATAGAAGACTAGTTTACAGTAACTATAAAGCCATTAATAAGACCTTGAAAGCTATAACTGGAGGTATTACCCCTATATAACCGGTTAAAGCTATATATAACCTCTGCAAGCTAGCGAAGAGTATATAATATACCCTGAAAGATGATTGCTAATAAGCTATTAAATCCCTCTATAGAATATATATTGACTTATGCAAGTTTATACTGGTGATTCCCGAAGGATTTAAAATTATAATGCTGGCTATATATAACTGATTGAGATAGAAGAAGGTATAACTCCTCCGTAGTAGAGCATTAGCAACTGCATTCCTAATGAAGTCTATTAATAGTTAGAGATTATAAATGAATGGAGAAGCTCCTAAGGAAGTATAGATTAACGGCGGTTAAGAACTCTTAAACTCTTCCTCTAAGATATTTTATTAATAGCTAATAAGCTAGGTTCTATTTAATACTAAAGAAATATATATATATATATATATAAGGGTTTACTTATATAGTAGTAAGCCTTAGGAAAAGGCTTATAATATAAGAGGTAAGCTATAGGGTAGGTCTTATATATGTATAAGTAAACTGGTAAGGCTTACTCTGGTATAGGTAAGCTTAGCATTAGTTAGAGGAAAATATAAGGTATATATAATATAACCGCTGTAGTTATAACATATAGCTCCTGAGGTATTAAACTAGAAGACTCTATACTAAGTACTCTATAATAATTATAGAGGAGGTAAGAATAAACTAGATATCTTATACCTCTGAACCCTTAGTTATAAGGTATTTATAAATATTAAACTAGAGAAGAGAGTAAAGTTAAAGAAGGCTGCCCTAAGAGGCTAGCTTAGAATCCTTGCAGGATATTATAGTAACTATATATATAAAGTCTATAATCCTAAGATTAAGAAAGTAGTAGTTATAGGCTATATTATCTTCTACAAGAAGATATCTCTCCCTGATAATTATAATATACTAAGAACTTATCCTCCTAGAGCATTTAAGTCTAAGTACTTACTAGAGCAATTCAGAGTTACTAATAACTTTAAGGCTTAACCTGCAGTAATAACTACTTAACGAAAGCCAGATCCCGCTAATATATAAGCTATACTCGCCTAAGATAATACCAATTAATAGAGAGATAGCTGCTATACTGAGATTAAGTTACTATTTAATAGCAGGTATATTTAGTTTATTCTATAAGTAATATTTTCGCCAGGAAAGAGATTTATTACTATTAAATAGGTACTTAAATATAAGCGAAATAAATAAGGTAAGATTACCTACTGCAAGGGAAGGATTATAGCCTGCAGCTTTAAGAAGTATAAGGGCATTAACTATATAGAAACCTTTACCTCTATAGCCTAAGTATCCTCTTGGAGGGTAATCCTAGCCTATTTAGTATAATACTAAAGGAAGATTATATAGTCTAATATTATTATAGCCTATCTTAAAGGGGAATTTAACGAGGAGATCTTTATATATAACTTCGAGCTATTAAATAATTTCCTAAATAATAGCTAATACTCTTATTATATAGCTAAGTATAACTATAGAGAGGATAGTATAATCTGCCTTAAGCAGGTGATTTATAGCCTTAAGCAATTAGACTGGCAGTGATAGAAGAAGCTATATAAGGTTATTAGTAAGGCTAATATAAAGCAGGTAAAGTCTAATACTGTAATATATATTAACTAGGCTAGAAAGATTATTACCCTCTCCTATATTAATAACTTACTTATAAGTATACCTAATAATATAACTATTAAATCTTTCTATAAAGCCTTAAGCAGAGATCTTAATATTAAGAAACTTAGGTTCCTATAGTATTTCCTTGGCATTGCAATCCATAAGATCCCTAATAGTATATTAATTAACTAGGAAGCTTATTCCTGCAGCATTTTAGAGGAATTTAGCATATATAATCGCAATGGTATAAGCATGCCGATAGAGCAAGGCGCCTATAGTAAGGCATTCCTAGAGAAGACTTCTTTTGCTTTAGCAGGCCTAAAGTATATACATGCATATATTATCGGAAAGATTAACTACCTAGTTATATAGACCTGACCTAACCTTGCCTTTGCTAATGGGTTATAGGTAAGATTCCTCTTAAGTCTTACTAAAGAGCAGCTCTTAAGCGCTAAGCGGATGTTAAGATATTTTTGCTTGCAATCTTTACTCCAGATCAGCTATACGAGAAGCTCTGAAGAGAATCAAGCGAAGTACGGAAATGCCTACGGCCTATACTGATATTGTAATTCTGACTACGCCGCTGACCCTGATACCTTACGCTCTATTAGCGCCTATGTGTTCATTATAAACGGAGGCCTGATCTCCTGGTTAAGCAAGAGGCAACCTACTGTGGCTAAGTCTACAGCTGAAGCTAAGTATTATGCGGTATTATAAGCCGTGAGTAAAGCTATCTGGATTAGATTATTCCTCGAAGAGATTGAAGAGCTGCTTTCCACGCCGACTAAGATATACTGCGATAACGAGAGCGCAGTGAGGCTCGCCTATAATCCAGAATTCTACAATAAAACGAAGCATATTCGTGTTTACTATCAATTTGCGAGAGAAGCTATTACCGATAGTGTGATTAGCGTTGAACGCGTGCTAAGCGATGATAAACTGGCCGATGGCCTAACGAAGCCCCTATTAAGGCTAAAGTACTATGAGTCCCTTGAATAACTCATGATGACTGTACTTAAGTGAGTATTATCTGCCCGATTTGCCTATCAAAGGAGGCATTTCCCCGTATCTTTATGACTCGATTATTAACGCATATCCCCTTTTGCGCATGTCGTTGATATATATCCCTCTTCGACTATATAGCTGCCGCGGGATTTTAATCAATGAATTAACGAAAACACTATGAAAAGCACTAAGTTAAATCGACTGTGAATCACAATTGATAATAACAGAGGATTATGAACGATGAAGCCTGTGAATCACGAAGTTGATGAATTTAGGCTTGAGAGGGAGTGTTAGGTTGTTGCTAGTAAATAGTAACCAGTTTATCTAAATAACGGACAATCGCTTAGATAAGCAGTAGATGCCTAAGATAGGCATAGATAAGTGAATTAAAGGATTTAATATATATAATCGAAGGAATTTCCCTTATTAAGGGATATCTTTAACCTTTCTATTAATCTAGTTAATGTTACATTTTGCACAGATTTTGTCCATCTGTATGACTCACCAATCACGACCTGCTGATACTCACGCTATGAGAAAAGTTAGCCGCGAGAAGGATAAGAGATGGAAGTTACTGACTTCAAGCTTATCGCTCTCCTAGGCTGAACCTTGTATGCTAAACTTTGTGTTACCTTCCGGAGTGGAGTTCGGATGAACAAGGCTCTTGTCACTCATCAACTTGAAGCAGCTGTCTTGTGCTTTTTGTTCCCTCTCATATGCTCCATATCCTGTAAGCGGTAAAATTTTAAATAAATGGGATAACGGTGAAGGGGGGGTTGCTCTCAGCTTGAATTTGTATGCTATTTTTACTTGCGACCCAGTGGGCTACGGTTGACTCAAGGAGATGGCAGAAAACCTAGGACCTAGCTTGCCAAAGACATGGAAAACAAAACAGTCTAAGAGAAGGCCTCAGATGTGATGAAATAACTGGGTTATTCTGTTCATTGGGCAGGATGTATTAAGCCTGCTGCATCCTCCAAGCCACTGTCAATAAGAATATCAATGACTCAAAACTAATATAAAAAGCGATAGCAGGCAAAAGCAATAACATTAACAAAACCGGTCGGTAGACTGAATAACTATCAAATGACTGAAAGAAGAACTCTACTCGCCTTATCAAGAGTTAAAATTCTTGCCGTCATCGATATGTATGTAGTATCTTTTGATAGTTGAGAATCAAGGTCCACCACTCCCAGAAAGCGCCGCCAGCTGCTCCCCAGCTATGTTGTCGACAAACGCTCACTGTTGTCTGCAACTATGACCCGTGATAGAGTCAAACCGTATGTAACATCAGTATTCATATCGCCAGCTTAGTGCCGCCCAAGAACTTGGGGCATCTTTGAAACCAAAAAGTACAAATACAATTTAACCGTGACATTGGCCTCGTAAGCGGCAGCTCCCTTGGCCGCCCTGCGCGCAAGTTCAATGAACTTTAGGGTCCAGTACTGTTCACAATCCGAGCTTCTGACGTCAAAAGCGACCTCCATTTGAGCAGCGAGATGAAAGAGGTAGTCAAGACCCAAGAAATCATCCTTTCTTTGGTTTTCAGAATGGGTGGCAAGAGCATAGAGGCGTGTTATCATGATCGAAATGTCGAGTGGAATACAGTCGGTCCTCATGGCACAGGCAGTTGCGTTGTACCGAACCCTGAAAGCGCCTTGGAAAGCCATCAAGGAAAGCCACTCTTGGCCGGTGCCCATTGTATGAGCAAATCTGAGCATGGTGTCTGCTAATGTCTTGAACTCTGTTGAAATAGAGGTGGCATGGGTCGGTGGAGGGAACCGGTTCGTGTCAAAGCTAAGAAGATGTACGTAGAGCGATTCACGAGCATACTTGGAATGTTGAGAAAGTTCCCCTGTCAAGTGTTCTCTGTTGAGCCCATTGAAAAACTCAGAGCAGTGAATAGCTCTAGTTTGGACCGGGTCTTGAACAGGGACCCGTGGTACTATGGGTGTTGTGATTAGCAATGGTCCATAGACAACCTCAAAGGTTGACCTACCCGTATGGTGGGTATGATCATCATCGTCGATACGATCGGCCCATTTAGACTGCTTTGAGTTTTTGCCCATTGTGTGAGTTCTCAGTCGGGTTTCAAATCACCTTGAAAAACGGTCAGTGATGATCAGGGAGGTACGTGCTGATAATACCTTGATAAGTTGAGGATATAACTTTGGAAGATGTTTTTGGATTCTGAATAGTTGCTGTTCTCAAGAAGAAGAAGAAGAAGAAGTATGCTCCAAGCTTGTCTCTGGATGATTGAAGGAGAAAGAACATGAAGAGGGGAACATGGAAAAGATGAATGACAAGGTATCTGTTCCTACCTGGAAGGGCAGTTCAAGATAGCGACTTCCCTCAACTCCATGGCATGCTTCTTTTTTGGAACGATACGTCAAGTGCCTAACGCGTAGGTAGTTACTCATAGGTAAGTGCCACTGCCAGTTGGGCAGGTATGAGTCTAAAAGCAACAGTCGGTAGCCCATGACTTGGGGCAAGTTTTGAAAAGGCACAACGTTAATGATTAACACAATGAAGGAGAATGAATGATATATCAGAGGCTTCTGACCCAAGACATTATACCTACGGTATGAAATTTAGTTCAAGGTGATATACGGCCCTTGGTGAGCGGCAAGGGGGTGGCAGAAAACCTAAGAACTAAGCTTAGGATGGATATACAAAATAAATAAACTTAGGATACATGAGTTGATGAGTCATTTCATCATTTCAAGAAGAAACCAGATGCTCATATCAGTAGGTTTCAATAGTCAGACAATATCAAGGTCACAAGGCCATGCTTTTAAACAAGATTTCAACAGAACTCTATATCAGAATAAAAGCTCTGCAAAACCTATAACAATAGCATACGCTTTCTTCATCCTTATCCAACTACCAACCTTTGTAGACAGTGGCTGGATAATGGTGTTAGGGTCAGGCTTGTAGAGGGTATAGTCAAGATGATCAACAGTCTCAACCTGGTCAATAGGCTGTTGCTCTTTAACAATCCAAGCCATTGTGACAGGCTATAGCAAATGCTAAAAATGTCCTCAATTTCCTGAAATTTTCTACTAGACACATTAGTCGTACGCCTACAGCTTACATAGGGTTAACACGGTCAACGGTTTGCAACGGCTTGCAAAAGGGCTTCAATACGGTCTCAAAGGCTAAGGCTTTGCACCTACATTCGCGACTGCCTTCTATGTATCAACATAACAGATATCCTTTTAACAGCAGCAAGACCACCTGGTCAGTGGTAGCGGCTTGAATATGATCGATTCAATTGATCAATAACTCGGTTTAAGGATACGGTTCAATTCGCAAGCCTTGACTTCTTAAAGAAGAAAGAGGCCAAGCTTAGGATACATAAGTTTAGGATATAAAATAAATAAATCACCTACGAGCGGGTCTGAGATGATTATCCCTGGTCATCATGTGAAGCAATTGTAGTCATGCATTGTGTATATTGCATAGACAAGACGATATGTCTTCTGAATCTAGATGTCTAAGTACCTGCTCGCCATCATGCTTGAATTATCCTTGACTGGTCCTCCTTTAATCAACAATCGGGGCCTGATCTATCAAATGTTTGTATTCCAATTAAATGGTGGTGCAAAAAAGCCAAACGCCGCCAACACCTTGCCTTAATCATTTGTTCTTCTCTTGTATATGGTGGCACTCCGCATCATAGACCCAGGAGGCTCATTTGTCGACGGATGGGACTGGCACTGACACTCCCATCCTCGCTAGCGTAGCATGCGCTATCGGTGTCGATATCCCAGCCGATCTCATCATCGTCCTTGCCATCTTCACCAACTTCAGCGTCAAAGGGCTTCTGAGCAGAAGCGCGGACGTTCCAGCGGAGAGTGCGGCTGACACTGTCAAACCACTCGGTGTCGGTGCGGGTTACAGTAGGGAAGGGGTACTGAGAGGCAGTGATGGTGACACAATCTCCTTGTCGCAGCTCCAGACGGCCCTTACCATCGAAAGCACAGTAGGCAGTGGCTCGTGAGTTGCGAGGAACAACGACACGAAGGGCCATGGTATCGGAGAGGACCATAGGTCTAAAGGAGAGAGTGTGAGGACAAATGGGGGTGAGAAGGATGGCAGGGATATCAGGGTGGACAAGGGCACCACCAGCTGACAAGGAGTATGCTGTAGAACCAGTTGGAGTAGAGAAAATACAACCATCAGCTTGCACAACAGTAAGAAGCTCGTCATCGCCATACAACTCGAGGTTAGAAACATAGGGAGAAGGGCCACGATCGATGACGAGCTCATTCAGAACCTCGAATTGCTCAGGCTCCTCGAGCTTGGGCGCGTCGAGAGCTCCAGCGCCACGGTTGTTACGATGGACAGTACAGGTGAATCGCATACGAAGGTTGATCTTCATACCGTCATCACCCATGACTCTGTTGAGGTGCTCCTTGTACTTCTCAAATTCAAATGTCGTCATGAAGCCGAGACTGCCGAGACTGAATGAGAGCACAGGAGGGACGATTCGCTGGAAGAGCCACGATGTGAAGAGGACAGTGCCATCACCACCGAGAGTCAAGACGAGGTCAAACTTTTCAGGCTGGCTCCAGCACAGATCGGGTGTCCAGTACTTGAGCATGTGCTGGAAGCGAGGGTTCTCGGCAAGCAGGCCAGATGCATCGAAACGTCGCGAATTACGGAGCTTAGCATCAACGTATACGTTAACGCCGAGGTCGGAGCCGTAGCGTGGGGTTCGCAGGAGCCAGCCAGCAAGCTCACGGGTGAGATAAACCAATTGATTGTCGCGTGCCTTTGTGACAATCATGATGTTGCGGACAGCGCGCTTGATGGGACGACGCTGAAGCTGCTTAGAGACTTCGCGAACACCAGTTGCAGTCGCAACGAGACGCGAATGGGACATGGAAACATCGTTCTTAATCTCCTCCAGGACCTTGTTGATGTCGACAGCATCAGCGAAGCGCTGATGGTAGAAGCATGGCGACTGAAGAGTTGAGGCAAGAATGGTAGCTGCTGCGTCAGAAGTAGTTGTGTCGTTGCTGGTGACTGAAGTGTAAGTGCGAGCAGTAGTGGGTGTTAGGCCAGCGGTAGGCAAGCGAGACTTGGCAAGGTCGTTAAGCGCATCAGTTAAACTCTGCGAGGGAGTAGCAGAGCTGGGGTTCTTGAGGATGCTGGAGAGACCGGGAACAGCAGCAGAAGCTGGCTGTGAATGAGACTGAGAGCCCGACTCTGAAGTTTCCGTGGAAATCATCTTGGACGAAGAGGGTGGGAGTGCGAGAGACAGAGCGTCGGGTTTGTGGTGGCGGATGACCGACGTCGAAGCCCTCGGGCCAGAATTAGACCGATGAGCTTGATACTGAGAAGAAGCCCACGAAGCAGTCTGATCTGAAGTTGAAGGAGGGAGGGATGAAGGGGAAGCAGCCAAAGAGGATGAACTCAACAAAGTCGTATCTTTTTGTAGGTCTTGAGCTTGGGCAGATGACAAAGTGGACGTGGAAACAGAGGAAGAAGTGGAGTCTTCTAGGGAAGGATGAGGGTTTAAAGGGTCCGTTGCTTGAGAATGGTCAGAAAATTGTTGTTCAAAGTCTGAAGTCAAGTTCAAAGAATCGGCAAAGGTGGTCTTCTTAAGAGGAGAAGGAGAAGGCAGAGGCAAAGGAATAGAAGCAGGAGACAGGGTCATGGTGCTGTAGCCGTTGTCGTCTCCAGCTCGGTCTCGGGGGCTGCCAAGAGCTGGGTGGAGAGCGGCAGGTGAAAGTAGGCCTGTCATATTTCCGATTGTAGTGGAGGGGGGGCTCTATAACAGAAGATAGGGACCCCGAAAATGGTGGAATGCAGGGGGTTGAGGTTTGGAGCACGCGATGGATGTCTCTTGTTATCGGAGACACTTCTAACACACCTTTTTAACTTTATCGGTGTTAAGAAGACAGAATTCCACAGGAAATTCCGAACCCTAAATAAAGCGTCGGGAGTGTCCGCGGAGGTGATGCGGATAACAATGGAAGCCTCGGATTTTGCAGCGCAAATGCCGGTCTTGTATCCGTAAATGGGGTACAAGATCTGAGTAACTCAATGCAAAACCCTCCAGGGGATGTAGATGACGTTCTGTCGAGAATCAAGAAAAAGTGACAAGGACTCGTCGAATCGCTAGCTCGTTGCGGGGAGTGAGACACTTTCAGGGATTGATTGTCGATACTGGAACTAATAGCTTCAAAGATTGGGACGCAAGAGCCGAGCCGAGCGGGAGGAACAAGACGCTATTGGGTGTTGGTCTGTGATGAGTTGATCGTGGTCGCAGCTGTACAAGACGCACGTGGGTGATATTCGAATCTTGAGTACCAAAAAGACCAGGCGGTATTCGGTTGCCGATTGTCGTATTCTTTGTATTTGACAAGTGATCGGAGTCTCGGGTAAAACGGGCAAAAGAGACAAGATGGAAGAGAGAGAAAGAACTTGCAAGACAAGGATCTTTCAAGAATAACAGTATCTTTTCTCGGCTGCAGATGTAACGCAATGCAACACAATCCCAATCTACTGCAGTCGCCTGCAAGCCACAAAATGTGATGTAAGAAGATGGATTGATTCGACTCGATTCGATTTGACTTCAACGACCAGCGAAGAAGAAAGATGTTTGGTTATTGATGAGAAAAATGACCAACAGCTTAATTACTTGGCGCCAATCAATGATTCGAGCGAGGAAGGTGACAACAGAAAACAGAACAAATACTGTATAAGCGAGGGAGACGATAATAAAAAGAAGAGAAGAAGAAAATGGGCGAATTCTTTTGGTACGAGACTCGCAGAGCCTTGTTGACAATTGAAGTTTCGCGTGATTATTACAAAAGATGATAGTCCTTGAGAGGAAAGAGAGTGTGCGTTGTGTTGAGACCGGCTACCGAATCCAAAAACTGTTGCGTGCTCGTCCTCACTTTAATAGAAATACTCTTTTCCTCTTGTGTTTCCTTGTTTTCCTATAACCGACATGTATTTCTCCATAGTTATTCTCGAGTTCCAAAACCCCATCCCCCTTGGCCTGTCTTCCCTGTCATGTTTTGTTCCAGGATCTACCTATCTACCCGTTTTGGTCATTTGGGAAAAAGCTCCCGTCGTGGAATTCTCACAGCCCAGCAGTAGCCCAGTTCAGGTGAGGTGAGAAGTATCCCTGGTCCCCCCTTTGAGAGCCTAGAACTATGGAACTCCTTGTGACAAGCGCCGGCTGAGACGTCAATCAGAAACCATGTTGCAGTTGCAGTTGATAGGGGACCCAACTACATGGTTGACTAATGGCCAACTCGATTTAATCAATTGTACTCATCTACTGTAACTAATTGCTTACCGCAACTAGTGTCAACTTGGCAGGACCAACAAATATGCTGGGACATATATGATTAGTGGTATTATAGGATATAAGAGAGAATCCTAGTCAATGTAATAAAACTGTAGACGATTAGAAGACCTCCCATATTATTCTTCAAAGAATTTACGCCAGGAAGTGGACCCTAATAAAGTTGTCAAGTGGACATTAGCTTTTTAACGGCCTTCGGGATATTGTAGATTTCCCCAGTTTATTAGTTCAATGCTTTCTTTTCTTTTCAATGCGGCTGTAAGTTTCCTAGGTCTCCCTACGGCATGAGAAAGAGAGGAAATTCATGATTCAACCAATATGCAAATCATCAACTGTTTGGGATTTTGATTCATCCCGTTTTAACTTTTGTCATCGTCTTGACTTTACTTTGTCTAGGTACTTGTAGCACAAAGACCTCAGGACCCGAGCCTGACAATATTGCTTCAGCTGGTGATCCTCTTAGCGATGGTGATACCAACAGTATTGGCATCAAGGATAGTTATCACAAAACTATTTCTCAACTATAGCTGAAATAAAATAAAACTGACCAATACTAGGTGGCGATCCACGCGCGTGGCAAGCTGTCACCGTCTCAATATCCTCCCTACACAGCTTTTTTCAACTCATGTTTCGGTTCGGGCGGGAACGTGGAGATCTATACTAAGCATTGGATACCAAGTCGGAAATATTCACTCAAAATGCCCTTTTCGTATGTGTAAAATACGCTGACAAGAGTCCAGTGTAGCATTTCTCTTGTTACCGTGCATGCTCGTATCTTAATGCAACCCCAGTTTTATCACCCCCTTGTAAGAAACACGGAGAGGCAAAGGCATCAAGATTCTCACCGCGTTAAACTCACAAACCAACCAACCAACCTTCCAGCTTGGGAACTCGGTCTAGAAAGAAAGAAAAAAATGGTTTATCTCGATATTCTTTCATGTTTCATTGGTATCTAGTCTCTTTCGCTAACTCGTCCAATCCTCAAAAATCGCCCTGAGACTGCCAACACGGTTTCTGATGCTATGGTGAAACGCAGCCAGCCCGTGAGTCTCGTCGTCTCGTCCACTGAGGAGCTGATATATTGGCACCCTATCCGATAATAGCCCGGATCACCAAGGTCCCGAGAGGCTTGAAAGGAACAAACTATGCTTGGCGGTTTGAATAATGGGAAACAAAAAAGCCAATTTGACGATGCAGGGTTTGACCCTCTTCTCAGGATTTCAAGCTGGCCTCAAAACCCCGTCGAGATAGCCCTCAAAGTTGGCCACTGGAGCCATCAGAGACAAAATTAGTGAGTCAGTTTATGCAATTTAGGCTCCGTTCTTAGCTTGTTTATTTTTGTAGCCTAAAGCTCAAAGGCCAACTTTTCCGGTATCCACTAGGAGGGAGGGAGGCTTACGCTGAGATTGACCACGTTGGTATGGCTGGGCGCCTACATCACATAGGCGAGGGTTTGATGCTCATCTTGGCTGTAGATACATGTTGGAGATAACGAGCGGGTTGTCATGCAGTTTGCGCTGGCGCGTCATTTCCAGTAGAGGTCCTCCGCCACTTTGGCTTCCATAGCAGAGCGGATGAACTGTCTCATGCTTGGGGAATCGATGTCGTCGCCGGACATGGCTGTATCTAACCCAGGTTTCTGATGCTCACAGCATATACGTTGTCCGAGTTGAAGAACCTTGGTCCACTCATCGGGCGTGAACGCACCCTCGCTCTCCGACAAGAGTAACTCGTCGTGAGAAGTGAATGCCAGGGCGTGAACTGACTTGGCGTGGTTGATATCTACGGCGCTTGGATCGACGATGATATCCTTGCCCTCCTCCTCAGGGACAGCAAGCAGAGTTGCTGCGCCGATAGTCTTGAGAGGAATGGCGGCGCTGAGAAGTCCTAGGATAGCTGAATGAAGAAGCGCAGGAATGATAGGGAGGTTCTGTGACAAAGGTCAGTCCAATCCTAGCTCAATCGTGAGGCATCTCATCCTACCAATTGCGCTTGAACGATTTTTGCATTGACGTATGCGTTTTCAGGTGTCTCGGCCACCTGAAGAGTGATCTGGATCACAGATCGAGGATAGTCTCTCACAGGGATAAGTTGCCTCAACGCGGCTTGCATGATGGACTCAAGCTGCCTTTCACGGGTACCTGTTGTGTGCGACACGAGTTAGTATGAGGATCTGATACCATCTGTAACGGAAAATGTTACGCACCTCCTACGCCAGCGGCGGGACGGACAATGACGTCCACCAGAGCCTCGAAGGCATTCTCGTCTCGTCTCTGGGCCTCGACGGGGCCATTGACTGCGGCTATCACGGCATATCCTCCGTATGAGAATGTTGCAGAGCCGTCGGACTTGGCAAGGTGAGAAATATCCGCCGTTGGTTCAGTAAAAGGAGCCATTGTATCGTCTTGTTTGGTGTTGAAACGACTAGGTTCTGTTTGTCTTGTAAGGCTGGGAAGGGAAATTTTCCTATGGAGGTCCCTTGAGTTTTAGCCCCACGCTGTGAAAGGCGGTATATCGAATTGATTCGGTCAATTACAGTGAGCGAGAATGAGGATGCAGTTGATTGTGTGATAAGTATTGAGACAAGAGAATGAAATTATTCTTAGAATTCACTTGAGAAATGAAAAATGTTCTTCACAGAGTTCCATGGTTTGCTACTCGCCATGTCATGAAGATAGTGGGGTCGGCCTAGAAGCTACCCGTAGAGGTGACTGCCAATCATAGCCACATAGACCCTTAACTCATGACATGCAGCCTCTCTTAGTATTATCAATCCAGCATCAACCTACCAACAACACAATAACTTCTCATCCATAAAAATGACTTCACAAGCTCCCCCTAAGCCCGCCTCATCACCAGGTGCAGCTGCTCCAATATCGTCATCGATACCAAATCTCAAAGATCGACTGCCAAAGCTCGAACCTCGAAAGCGACGCTCTGGTCCCTCCAATCCTACTCCCATCCCCGAAACGCCCGCTCTTCCCACGCCACCGGATACCTCCTCCAACTGGACGTTCAAGACGCCCTCGCGAAGAATTCTATCCAAAAAGGACCATGACATCTTCCTCTCCTCGTCAACATGTAAACTCATCACCGCCTGGGTTTTTGGGCTAGCAGAGTCCGTTATCGATACTCCCAACTCGGCAATCCGAGAAGCAGACTTGAGCGGCCCCATCAAAACTATTATACACATCCTTGACGAGACAGAGCAGCTGGTGACAAAATCGCCTCCAGATGAACAGGGCGGCTCGAGATTCGGCAATAAGGCATTCCGCGGTCTTCTCGACCTTGCGCAAAAGAACAGTGCAGCCTGGCATCGTGATATCGGTGTACAGAACGAAGATGCTATCAATGAGCTTTCCACATACTTTTGCGAGTCTTTCGGCAACGGGAATCGAATCGACTATGGATCTGGACACGAACTCAACTTTATGATCTGGCTCCTCTGTCTCTACCAGCTGGGGCTATTGAAGCAATCCGACTTTAAGCCCATCGTACTTCGGGTGTTTGTGCGCTACCTTGAGGTTATGCGAGTTATTCAGATGACATATTATCTCGAACCTGCTGGATCACATGGCGTTTGGGGTCTTGATGACTACCAATTCCTACCTTTCCTATTTGGTGCCACACAACTCTTGCATCACCCATACATCACACCAAGAGCTATCCATCAGGACTTGGCCCTGGAGGAATTCGGCCATGACTACATGTACTTGGGTCAAGTGAGCTTTGTCAATAGCACAAAAACCGTCAAGGGTCTACGATGGCACAGCCCGATGCTCGACGACATCTCATCGGCGAGGTCCTGGACAAAAATTGACGGAGGCATGCGTCGCATGTTCATAGCTGAGGTCTTGGGCAAGCTCCCTGTTATGCAGCACTTCCTTTTCGGATCACTGGTGCCAGCAGACGATAGTATGAGCGAGGACACCGGGGCTGAAGATGAAGCAGATGTCGAAGACGATCCACATGCGGGTCATGATCACACTGGCAAAGCCCATGACGGTACCGGTTGGGGTGACTGTTGTGGTATCAAAGTTCCCAGCAGTATCGCAGCTGCTCAAGAGATGAAGAAGAGGGGAATGAACCAGGGTCTACGAAGAATCCCATTCGATTAATGCATATTACAAAGCAAAAACGCCAGAGGTTTTGATACTTATGGCTTCGACAAGATATCATGTACTATTGTTATGTTCATAATGAATAACGACGAAATACCTCTTTTCAAACTTCTGCCACCAGACACAGCCTACCCTCTATGTCGCCTCTGGATAGGAAAACATAATACCAATAGCATGTTTAGAACAGTAGAATAGGGGTAAATTGATCTGGCTACCATTCTTTATTGCTTACACCCCTCACCCATAAGCATAGCAAATTCCTATGTCTGGATTCACAATATTCCCATGGGGTATCTATATTATTAACATGATGTTGTTGTATGACTCTTGGCTTCATAGGGCTGCAAGATAATTTCTAAAATCGCTATTAATTCCTGACTGTTTACCGTCCCCAGCGGTATCGTTATAGTATATAAAGAAGCACCAGGCTAACCTTCCTGTTGCTCACTAGAGAAGCCCTCATTTTTGACGGCACTGATGTGTGAACGAGAGAAAACATGCGTGTTGGGTCAGATGTCCACTTCCCCATACGCACTTATAAGATGCAGGGTATCCATCGATGACGCAAATCTCAGAGAGTTGTCTGGCGGTCTTTATTCAAAGTTTCATAAGCCAGATATACCACCGCTGAACCTCACACCAAAGGACTGCGGCCATGGCCAGGACCGGATCAAGCCAAGTGAACCTTTGCAGGTGAGGCATCTCAATATGATTTTGCTCTAAGCCAGATTTCAAAGCTGCGACAATATGTTAGACCCTGTATTTACCTAAGGAAACATAGTCGACAGCAAATAACTGGGAAGCAATTTAGTTGGGTAACAGCAGCTGGTATAGGCAGTAGGCCCATCTAGTAATCGTTCCTCTTTCATACTCCTGGCGGCCAACTCAGTCATGCTATTATTTAATTTGGTCAAGTTGTGTATTACAGTTTCACGTAAATCGAGTCATTTCTTTGTAATGTTTCCGAGACAGTGTCTCTTGTTCTTTTCCATTCATCCAAGCAGCCGAGCTATCCACCGGCTTTACCAAGCCAGCAATATTGGTTGAATGTCAAAGCATATTTACAAGCACCAGTTCCCAGGCGCCCAAAACCGAACCCGTACCCAGCCACCCTTGAACAGGACATGAACAAACATCGTACATATATGTACGTACATTGGGGGCGCAGACTCATACAATCCATGCAAGTAAGTGCACGACAGATTCTCTTCTCCGTTTCTGGAAAGAAAAGAACACAAGATAAGCCAAGCAGACCGTACAACTGTCATCCGGTTACCCCCTTGCTTTTGAAATTGATAAACTGCTCATGCAGCTCTTTGTTCTTTTTATTTAATTCATCTCCAGGCTCCTTGGCTGAGCGAGAGAAGGCCAGCAACGCAATCCATGTCCGGTTTCTTGCTGGGGCTGACGGAACCCCGCATGAATTTCTCAACCTCATTCTCTTTAGAGGGCATAGCTGACTTCATCGTGTCCTCGAAAATCTCCAATCCTTCTTTTATAATGGACCGGGGGCGAGCGGGGGCAGTGTTCGCGCGGTTGGCGAGTAGGTTTGGGCTTTTCTGCTCCTGGAGAACCCGACCAATGCGTCGAGAGTTCTCGCCAACGGGCTTAGGGGCAGGCGGCAGAGGTCGACGGTGAAAAGGATCAGGGGAGCTATGATCCTCGTCAGGGCTCAAGTTCTCCTTGTCTGAATCACCGCCTGTTGGAGAGACCAACATGGAAACCTTTACCTTGCCATACTCCCTATCAGCCTTTCGAATTTCTTCAAGTTCCGTCTCCAGTAGTGAGATACTTGACCCAGTGGAATCCAATCTAGCCTTCTTGGCCTGGTGAGGCCGCTGCTGGGGTTTCGTCATGGGAGCATTGCGCTTACCGGGGCTTGGCTGCTGAGTTCCGCCCAGGGATCGAAGGATATTGATAGCTGCAATCGCCGATCCGTTCGACTCGTGCTCGGCCTGGGCTGTCAGCTCATCACGATTCTCTGCGTCCGCGCAGGACTCCCAGGCGTGCACGTTACGAGACCGACCTCGCATGAACCTGGGAGGAGGCAAGCTGTTGGTAAGCGCCGTGATAGGAGGAAGTGTGATCGATGGGACCGCGCTATGACTACGCTGCAGACTTCGTTGCCGCACCTGGGGCAGGCTTGGCGTGGTCGAAGATGGTCGAGGAGGCATTTCACGGGATGGAGAGCCTTGGTTGGAGACTAGCTCGGCCTTGCCTTCTAGAGACATCGATAGGCGAACCTTGGACTGGCTCTGTGGATAAGAGGAACCTTCAGACGTGCACGAGGAAGGAGGGAAATGATCAAATCTACATTGGTCAGTTATAGTGGCTGATAGTTGTGGCAAGTATAGCATACCTGAAGGAATCATCCCCGCTACGGCTCATAGCGGGTGGGGTGGAGAAAGAACCGGGCGCAGAGTTCCAACGGTTGGCAAGATAGCCAACGTTACTAGAGATGGAGCTGGACAAAGAATGGGAAGCACCGTGAGCACTGTGGGAGAGAGCAGGATCGATACGGTTGGGAGTGACATCGGGAAAGCGATAATCGCGGTCCCGGGGGATAGAAACCGGGGTGCTATTTAAGAGATCTGAATGAGTTCGTGGCATGGAGGGAGTCTGGTCGAAAGGTCGAGGAGGTGCAGAGATATGATCCGCATATCGAGAACCAGTAGGGTCGGTTATTGGGAATGCCTTCTCTGGCCTGCTAGGCGTAGCGGTGTTGACGATAGGATCGGAAGGTATCACGTTCATGCCTCCAAATTGGAGAGCAGCAACCTCTTGTGGTGATAGGGGACGTGCCTTGCGGCGGTCGTTCTGTCGTCGGTTCTGGAACCAAATCTGAAGGTAATGACATTAATCTCGTGCATTCATAAAAATTAATTCGGCAGACGCGTAAAGAGCTAATTCGTGATAGGATAGTTTCAAACGTCGTCCATTGATTGCGGTTATCATACCTGAACTTCTTTTTCGTTCAAGGACACGCGCTGAACGATATCCAGGCGCGCTTGCTTGTCGGGTTTGGGATTGCTGCTGTACGCCTCTTCGAGAACCATTTTGTCCTTGGCCCTGCACGACGCAACCGAAGCAAAAATTAGCTCAGCTCCTTGGATTATACTTGTCCACCATGAAAATTAAGTTGTCAAAGACGTAAAACATACACCGTGCGTTTTCTCTTTCCCTTGGGATGCTTCTCGGAGTCGGGTGCGGACATGTTGGTATTGCCAGTAGCATCTGCCAGAGGAGGGAGGCTCTGGGGCGTGACAGCGATATCGTGTTGACTCGGGGCCGATGTAGCGTGTCTGTCGGGTGTAGCGGCGACAAAGGAGGAGTTGTTGGGAGCGGCCATGATTGCGGATAGGAGAGAAGGGTGATGGGGATGGCCTTATTGATGGTGCAGACACATTACTGGATGAAGAATTGGAGAGGAGGCGATTTGTCTGGTGGTCGTTTATCTCGCGGGAGGATGAAGGGTCACAATATTAGGAACAGGGTAAACAGATATACTGTACAGAAGAAAGATAATAGAAAAGAAGTTTGGTTAGTATGAATCCTAGCGGTCTGGTTGATAAGGAGCAGATGCAGAAGTGAAGAAGAGAAAGAAGGAGAACGAAGTTGTCGTTGAGTTTGAGTAGAGTCGAGATGGAGAGGAGCGACGTGTAGTTAGGGCGTGCTTCTAAAAACGAGGCGACCCATCCTAGGAAGGTATCGTCCCTTCAGTTCCCTTCCAAGGCCCTTGCGCTGCACTTCCCCTCCTGGGTCCCCCATTTGTCTTGGGCGCTTGTGCCTCCGCGTAAACCTTGTAAACGCGCCCCCCTGTTCGTGGCACCTGCTAGCACTGGCAGGGAAAAATCCCAGTAAACAACAAAAAAAAAACCTACGAACCTGAACCAACCTCCTCTACCGACTTTCAGATCTACTAGATTACGTCTTTGGAGATTACCTAGGCAGCTTTAGCTTTCCCGCCTTGCTCTTTTATTTTAATGGATGGCGTATCTTCCGAAAACGCGGTATTGATCCCCGGTTGACCAGCGCGTTGTCTCACCGTGACTTAACTTTAGTTCCATGATCATTTAAGCTTTCATATAAAATGTCTTGCTCAAGAGACTTAATCTTCTGGAAAAGATGACTGGTCCCCTTTGCCTACTACGGTTCATATATGGAAGGATGGATGCATGGCGATGTTTTCCCCCTTTCGTTCTGCATCCCCGCAACAGTATTGGATAACAAAAGACGCGCTATAGTATGTTAGCAACTTTTGCAGAGAAACAAATAATCACAAACGCGTTAAACATTATACTAATTAACTAGACATAACTCTATTTTTCATCTGCTTTAGAGCATGGTCAATTTGTTAAATGTCTGTCCTGAGATGCAATGCGTCACAGTCACAGCCACAAGGGGGAACAGATAGAGCGTTGGAAAGAGTTTTTACAGAAACCTGCTCGACGGTTCTACTATATATGCGGCTAGACAACCAGGTGCATAAACCATGCATGCAGATGAATTCGGCCACGATCTAACTCGAGGCAAGCTTTTCATTCCAGTTTATTCCAGTTGATCAGACTACTGACTAACTTTGAAGAGACAAAACAGCAGTCCACATGGTTTACTCAAATCTTGCACCATTCCCTTGTTTCTCAAATATCATCTCCTACCGCCTTTGCCCCACGCTTAGAACGTACCTAATCAATTAACAAACGGTGTTAGCGATCCTGGGGACCATCTTGTGGTCAATTGACACCCCTGTTTCATTAAGTGGCTGCATGCGCCAGTACAGATACGCAGGGGTGTCATGTCCGCCATCCATGATCCATCCATCCATCCATCTCACTGTTTTTAATAGCCACTTTATTTTGTCTAAACAAATAAATAAACCGCCAAGCCTATCTAATCTCTCTCTTTCTTAATGTCCATCTCCCATGAGCACAGATCCTGGTCCGCAGTCTTTTAAATACCATTCCTACCAAAGTCCGTGTTCCGGACTAGATTATCGA